TGCTGGTCCTGCAGTAGATCTATATAAACGATTGGCGTATATCCCTTGTAAGGCAATCCTGGCCTGTGTATGTAGATAACTGAGTAATGACTGTAAGCGGTGAGTTTCATATAAGCGAGGGGATCCCTAGTTCTGACACCCCACATGTTTTGTACAATACATGCGTCGATCGGTTCCATTACTCTCACTAGCCGCCCAATCGAACTTGAATTATCAGCAGATTTCGCAGATGCGGCGCCGGCAATTGCTAGCCCGTTGTGGATTCAGACTGGGTAGAATGGCATGTTGGCCGAAGCTCGGCGTGATTCGGAGTTTATGTGACGTTTATCCCGAACGAAGTCTAAGCATTGAAAATGATTACATCACGCTTCCTAGAAGTCAACCGTGATGCCACGATTTCTCTCATTGAAACCATGAAACATGAAACGTCTTTCTCTGTCCAGAGAGCATGACGTCAGGGCAGTATGAACTTCGTAAGCATAGGCTTTGCCATTCGTCGCAGTTACATCTATGTAACTAAGGTGGTGAAACTCGAGTCTGATTTTGATTTACTGTACTGGTTACTGTCCGGTGTATTACCCTTTGGCTTTGGTGATTAGTACTTTCGACAAGTCTACTTTCATTTCTAGGGCCGTCCATATTGTTCTTCAACTCATCATCAATGTCTTTGTCCCGACTAGCAAAGCTCGTGGGCAAAGTTTACATGTCGGGGAAGCTTGAACTTGGTCAAGTCGCTCTGAGCCACAATACTGATTGAACAAAGTCGTGGAACGGGCGGCTTGCCTACATACTTTACCTCAATTGTCTGGATCGGCGAGTGAGTGGTTATTGGCACAATCTAACGCAGCGCATTAGAATGACGATTAGCCAACGACCATGCAGTGTTGTTCAGGATTTTAACAACGATAATAGTTTCTCATCTACCAGATGCTTTCCCAAAAGTGCGGGGAACTTTCCTAATAAGAGTAGTTTGGGCAACTCGGATCCGGGTAATGTCATTCTCAGCGTTGTATCCCACGTTTCGGTCGAACCACGAGCGCCGGTTTGATGGAACAATACTTAACAAAATCTCACCCAAGATGTTGGACGCCTCTCCTGACTTATCAAACTGCTATAATGCTTCTCATGATCTCGGTTGCCCATGGCCTTAGATGTGAGAACGCGGGGTTGCCCAGTGATAGCCGAATACGAGAACCATTAAAGCTTCAAATTGATATGCACATCTGTCCATAATAAATGCAGATATTCCGTGACAAATGGAGATTTGCTCCATTTGTCGAAGCCTCACGGCACAAGAGTCCCGGTTCCACTAGCGCTGCGCGAAGTGCCTTGAGTATAAAGGGAGTTCCTATCTTACGGATAATTCTCTGTTGCTCAGTCCTAGCAGCCAACTCTGCACATCTGTCTCCTGCACCACACAGATTAATACTTTACTTGCATCAATTCACCGTTGCGACCATTACTTAAATACTCCATACAACATGCGTTTCTCCTGGGATCTTGTCGCCGCCGCGCTTCTGTTCGTCGGAACTAATGCGGCCAATATTCGTCGTCAGGACGAGTACGTCGGCGACTTCCGCATCTGGAGCGAGCAAGTCTGTGCTGGCAGCGGCAATCGGGGCATCTGGGCCATCACCAAAGGCTTAACGGAGACATGCCAGCCTTCATTCAAGGCACCAGACAATATCGTCAAGGCCGTGGAACTGAACTACATGGTTGAGGGTTGTAGCTGTAAGATCATACTCTCTTAAATGGCACCTAATAGTGTGCCCGCTTGCTAATAAGTTCCTGGCAGTGACTGTGTATTCTTCGAATGATTGCGGAGAAGGGGCCCGCGAGGTCAAGATTGGAGCGTGCGAGGAGACCTCTGATATTGAGGACAACTTCTTGAGCTTCAAGGTTACGTGCTCGGCCTAATGTTAAAGCACAGCACGAGGCAGGTGTGAAGCTGTTCGGCCCTATACTTGTGCGAGTAGAGCTAGTTTGCATTGACACATGCAATGCGAGAGTTTTCGAATTCAAGAAACTGACGAGACCATCTGCACAGTGACTTGACCATGCTGTCGCAACGGATTGCCATGTATAGACAGAATATTTGTATGTGTAGGTTGAGATCAAAGTATGTACATGAAAACTGCCTGCCCCCTTACTACTCGGCACAGCCAATCTCAATGCCCTTGGCGAACAGATCACCTCCGACAGGGATGAATCCAGCGAGAAATCCGGCAACCTCCCCGACAAGACCACAGCCGCCGGGCTCCTGGTTCTTTGTCGCACCAAACTCGATGATCAGGTCATCAGCCTGTAGTCGTCCATCAATGTAAGCTGTGACACGCAGAGTCGAAGGGACCTTGTGACCCCATGTCTGGTTCTCGCATTGGGCCAAGCCAGGGGAGTTCTCGTTACGGCAAGCGTATTCGCAGTTACGCGCGCTCTTGGGTCCACATGCGGCATCCTCATGGTAGCCCACACTTTCCATCCAGGTAAGACCGCGGCAACCGTTGAAGACCTCGTAACCGTAAGGGTCCGAGACAGTGCGAAGAACCTCCCACATAGACTGGACAAGGCCGTCACGCATTTGGTTGTCGGAGAGGCCAGGAGTCCGACCCCAAGCGCCATTCATCTTGACCTGGACGGTCAGGTCTGGGTCGTAGTCTTCGGCCCAGGTACAAGTGTTCGTCTGGGAGCCGAAGGATCGATCGGTCATGATGGCTCGGGTGTTGCCTGCTTCGCCGTATATGGCTTGCCATGTGACGGCGAACAGATCGAGGTTGCCAACGTCAACCATTCGGTCGCTGTAGCGAACTTCCATCTGAACGAGTGCCGTAGCCTGAGCTGCCATCGTGGCGAGAATAGTCTTCTTTGAGAACTTCATGATCTTTTTGGAAAGGTCAGCACATCAGGCGGTTAAGATTTAGTGGTGTCTGGCAACATACAACGTGATAAAATAGTGTTGAGGCTGACAAGAAACTGGCGCTTGAGTTGTACTCAGGAGGAAACCGATAATGAAGAAGCTTGATGTGAAAGAGCTGTCGAACAATAGATCCTCTTGGCCTCGCAGACAGACCTGTATATATACACTCAATCCCAAAGATCACGACCACGCGACAGACGACTTTTGTCGGTATTACAGTCCGAACCCCGTTTTCGTTTCTGCCGCCTCATTGAGTCTATCTTCAACCTGCAGCCCATCGCCAAGATACTCATTTCATCATGCTCCAAAGAATTGGGACTCGAAGCAAAAGTTCGCGCCGAGGATGCGACATATCAACCTCCCTCCTGTGCTCGCATGATGTTGTAACCCATGATATGGTCGGGGGCCCGCCTCTGATGTTTCCTTAAAAGGAAGTTATCCGTTCCATTGACATACCGAACAGGAAGTGAGGGTCCCATATGAGCCACTCCTTGCGGAACTATTGGCGACCTTTCCAACAAGCCATTACCAAATGCCAGGGCAGCCAAGAGCGTCTGTCCATCTTTTCATGTTTCAGCTCCAGCGGCACAGCGAATCATACCCACCTCTTCCTACTCCGCGTCATTTCCAGCTCTTGAGGTGGTCATCACGAGGCTATTACCTTGTTCTACTCAGCAAGGCTCTGGGGCTCATTGGCACTAAGCATCTCCCCTCCAGTCTCTTGCATTGTGCAACTCCTATAAAGTGGCACCTGGCCCATCTCTATCCTGGTCTCTGTCCTCATGCCCTGCCAATCACGCTTTTCTATTCTCGGCCTGAAAATCCTTCGACTCAACAGATGGGACCACAAACTGCATCAGCGGGCGAAAGAAAGTTGAAAGAAAAAGCAATCTTTTCAACACTCGCTCCGAGTAAGCGATATGAATGCTTGGTGACACGATAAGTACGATCAAGTGATCTTATGCCTCCAAAGCTCAACGTAGGCCCTTCCAGTCCGAGGACTCCAGATCGCTGAGGTTCACGGCCCCCTATCGAGCAGGTTACTCTCCACAAGTTTCAATTTCGGAAGCAGCCGACCTGTGCGTCTGATCAGTAAAGCCCCACGGCCCAGTTCATCCTATTCCGTTCGAGTTTTACGCTTACTTGTCCCTATCAGGGACTAAAAGTGGTGACAGCGTAGGAATAACATGTTGCACACCCTGCAAAAGGCTGCTGACCATTCCGAGCCGCCGGCGCTGCTCCCCCGGGCGCGATATCCTCAGGGGTATTGCGATGCGAGTCATTCGCAGTTCCACAAGGCTGACTCGCGCAAACAGTCGAGGAACCTTTGCTCAAAGGGCCTTTTAAAGATGCTCAAAACTCCTCAATTCGCCCACTTAAAACTTGACATATTTGCTTTTCAGCTAGATACTAGGCTATTCTGACCCATGCTTGACCCTCACTTCGAAAGTTGATGCCCGGAATCTCGTACGAGACCTGAGCGCCAAGACTAATTTTGAAAGAGCGAATGTTTTGGCAGAAAGGCCTTCACATGCTAGGTGAAGGCCTAGAACAGGCAGTTTCTAAAACCCCGCTTAGCTATGAACGCGGATCAATTTGAGGCTATAAAGCCCGTTGCCCGGGTTCAATACCTGTTGTCTTTCAATGCAATTGCTACCCTGGATGAACGTGCTTTGGAAGCAAAAGGTCCTGTGGTGCCACAATTTCATGGTCCATTATGCAACAATCAGTGGTATATAACCTACGTGCCCATGAGAACTTTCTGAGAACGTAGACTAATCATTGATGCCTGGGAGGACTATTGTACAAGACGAATCCTCCGTGGAAGAGCTCTTAAGGTCTCACAGATCCTGATACGCAAGTATGCGAAACTTGGCATGCTCTCTCAGAAACCGCTCTCCCGCGCTTGTTGAAAACATACACTGCCGTCCTCTCTCTATGCCACCATGGGACCAAGTTAACTTGCGAATAACATCGCTAGTAGTTTCATTCTTGATCCTCGTGCGCCGGTGTTCTCGATGCAGCGGAATGTCCCCGTACAATAAGGTTGCTTTGCCGTAGTTGTCAAAAAGCCTAGAAGGACTGGAACTCAATCCCTTACGACACTTCCAAACGAATCTTAGCCAATCCAGATTATCGAGATTGCCCTGCTCATCGAATAGATGGTGAATACGATCCTCATCTACAATCATATACAGCGGTATGTACCCTGGATGCTTTGGACGAAACTCGTAGTCGTCGCAAAACTTCGTTCCCTCTTTTGGCTTCAAAAACAGCCATGTGCTCATCGCTGTCTCTGGTTCGAATACGCGTCGTTGAAGCCATTTATAGTACATATCCATGGTATCCTTGATCCAGTGTCGACAGGATTGCGACAGTCGAAGATAGCTGAACACGGGATCCATGATTGCATCCTTCAAATCCTGTTTGATGCCATAGGCGTCAAGAGACCTACTCCACTCTTCGTTGCTGTCTCCGGAGGGCTCCTTCTCATCTGTGTCGAGCTCCTTGGTGCAAAAGTCCCACCATACTTTCTGCGTTTCCTTGGTTTCCAGCCCATCGGCAGGCATAGGTGGCTTATCAGGAATATCGCACTATGAGCTACAAAGCTGTTCTGCCTTCTCTTTGAAAATCCCATGTTTACGAGCCAGTATTTCTGGATCAAGCTGTATCGGCGAGTCGGCGGGACGATGATGATTGTGACAAGAAAACAGCCCGTGGACGATGTCTGAGTGTGATGTAAGGAAAAGATAGCGAACAATCAACAGTCTCTGCTCTCTATACTTCGAATGGTGCAGTTTGCAAGGCTCACTTTGGGTCTAGAGATAGAGCTTTTATTAGTTTTTCAACACATAAGGTACCTTTGTCACTTTCTCCGACCATCTGAATATGTCAACAGCCTCTTGTTTTCATTTTATGAAATAAGGTTCCGGGAACTGGCGGCTGTCATCCAGTCGGGCGACCTATCCGCTTGGGCAAGCCTTCAGGGTTCTTAACCAGTCAGGCTGCAGGCGACGAGGAGTCATCAAATCGATCCGTCTTTACCCTCTCTTTCCACCGCGCCTTCTCGACAAAACAACACAGAAGTCGGGAAGTCATTGATAGATTCCACGGGACATTTGCTGCTACAAATGCAACCTTCGGGACGATAAACTTAGCCACGATGTCACCCGCCAAGACCGAAAAGCCAAAGAAGCCTAACCAAGGCAACAAACCTCACCGAACCAAGACACTTACACACGACACTTCTGAATCAGAGTCCGAGGAAACTCCTGTCTTCTTCTTTATGCCCCAAGAAAAGTTCAAGTACTGTCAGTTCTGCCAATGGTACCCGTCAACATTCACCGTCTCGAAGCCGCAAATGTCACAGCTAGTGGGGCGAGCCGTAGATGAGAACGACCCTTTCGGCAGCGTCACATTCACCTGCGCCGAACAGTACATGATGTACTGCAAGGCGGCCCGTTTCGGCGACACCGAACGGCAGGCGCAAATCATGTGCGAGAAGAACCCGAAGACACAAAAGGCTTTGGGGAAAGAGATAGTCGGGTTCACGGATACGAGCTGGGATGAAGTCAAGAGTGCGGTTGTCGAAGCGGGCAATGTGGCCAAGTTTGGGCAAAACCCACAGCTGAAGAAAGTCCTGATGGGAACTGGCAATCGTGTTCTTGCTGAGGCGTCACCAAAAGACCGCATTTGGGGCATCGGGTTCAACGAGAAACAGGCGATGGTGAATCGGAGAAATTGGGGAGAGAATCGCCTTGGCAAGGCACTAATGGCCGCGAGAGAGCAGCTGAGAAATGAAGATGCGGAGGAATTGGAGGTAGAGGGTAACACAGCCGAACCCTCAGGGGACCAGTCACATGAGCCCGGGGAAGGGGAAGGGGAAGGACAGAGCGCAAAGGCATCCATTCCAATTGCGATACCTTGGAAGGCCACATGAACATGGAAGATCAAAAGGCATGGCTGGGTAGAACCACAGAGGCGCCGAAGATAGCTTGGGAACTAAACCAGCAACATGGGTATGGGTTCAAAACTTCCAAAACCGAGTCTGAATGCATAATATGCATCAGCTCATTATTTTGTCTCTATGCATGTCTGACTGTGCGCCTCCCACCTACTTCGACCAGGTCTATAGAGATGATTCCTCATCATCACCGAATCCAACGATACCTGACTGGTTTCCTCTCCGTCTGACATATGTCCGCTTGGCCCACTTGTACGCCTCAGCAACGACCATAAAAACGAAAACATCGATGAAGACCACAGCCCACTCCCAGCTGATGCCGTGGTGCATGAACACGACATGATCCAAAACCGGGATGTACAGCGTCGGGAACACGACGAAGAAGACGATCGTGACTGAGAAGAAGAGGAACTTGTTGCCCCACAAGTGTTGACCCCAAGCCTTGAAGCCTTGAGGCATGTAGAAAAGCGACCGGCGCGAGTCGATCAGTTCCCAAGCAAACAGCAAGAAGATCCACGTCATCGTCGTATAGCACGTAGCCCGCGCACGGAATACGGGCTCGCACGCTTTTGAGAAGGCATTGTTGCACTCCAATCCTAGGTTGCCGTCATTAAACCCGAACACAACAATTGTGAAAGAGCCGAGAACGCAGCCCGCCATGAGAACGCCGTAAAACACCATGTCGAATAGAAACTCAGGCGTGAAGACGCCGTATTTGAGCTATTGATCTCGTTAGCACTAAGTGTTCTTTCGGCTCGTCCATGATAGCGGACTTACATTTTGAGGAGGACGGTTGAGGATATCCGGCACCGCTTTCTCGAAACCAAGACCAGTTTCACAGAATGCGCCAGTTCCAAGAAGCATCCAAAGGATCTCCACGGGAGACAGCTGGAAGACCGAAACACCAGACTGGTCTTTGAAGGCCAATCCTGTCAGCAGAGCGCATACAAATCCGATGTTGGCTGCCAGAACGTGGAGGATAAACTTCTGAATATTGTCAAAGATTCGCCTGCCCTCCTCGATGGCGTTGAGAATCGAGGCGAAGTTATCGTCCGTCAAGACGATGTCGGAAGATTCTTTGGCGACATCCGACCCAGAGCCCATGGCAATACCGATGTCAGCGCGTTTCAAGCTCGGGCTGTCATTTACGCCGTCCCCAGTCATACCGACGTATTGGCCGCGACGATGAAGCGCCTCGATCATCCTCACCTTAGTACTAGGTGCGCATCGTGCCACGACTAGAGGTAGCTGAGGCAACTCATCGATCTGATCATTCGTCAAAGCATCAAAATCGTGAGCAGGCATCACCATCGTTTGAGCGACGTCGGCCGGCAGCATCTTGAACTTCTCAGGCGACGGCAAGATGCCAACTTCGGTCGCGATAGCCCTTGCTGTTTGCGGATGGTCGCCGGTGAGCATATGCACGACGATCCCGGCACCTTGGCATGCCTTCACACTGGGCTTCGACTCTGGACGGGGTGGATCGTAGATGCCGACGAGGCCGCGGAAGGTCAGGTTGTGTTCGAAAACGTCGCGGTGGGGAGCGATCTTGCCTTCGGCAAACTGGGATGCTGACACGGTGCTCTCAAGGTTTCGATGCGCTAGGGCGAGAACGCGAAGGCCTTGGCCAGCGAGACTTTCCATGTTGGCATGAATGTTGTCTTTGTCTGCCTCGGTCAGGGTTCGGGTAGCGGTATCGAGAGCAATGGTGTCGCAGGTTTCAAGGACACGTTCGACGGCGCCCTAAACTCAGTTTGTCAGTGATAATATTTACAATAGGACATGAGTCTTTCGATAGCGTACCTTGGTGAAGAGATGCATCTCCTGAGACTCAAGATTCTGGAACATTACGGACATCTTCTTGACGTCAGAGTCAAAGGGAAACTCTGCAATTTCCTTCCATGCGGCCTCAGGGCCTTGGGTCAACTGGAGTCTATTCCACCCGAATCTAGAAGCAAAGACCTCAAGAGCAATCTCTGTGGGTGCCCCAGTCGCCTTCCATTCTCCCGGGTTCGCAGAGCTGTCGTCGCTTTGCTTCAGAGTGGCCAGGTTCGCCAGTGACGCTATGTTGAGGTACCACTGGAGAGCCGAGTTGCTTGCAGATTCGTGGTGCGGGTCAATGGGATCGGTGGTATCGTCGTGTTGCTTTTCGGCTTCCGCACTAATATCTCTCGGCTGGCCGGCGGTGAACTGAACCGAGCCGGAGAACGGGTTGTATACATCGTTCGTCGTCTGCACGGAGTAAGTGCCAACTCCAGGGAGCCAGGCCTTGCGGACAACCATGCGTCCCTGCGTGATTGTGCCGGTCTTGTCGGAGCAAATGTCTGATGGTGCTTGCGATCAGCAACATGTTGCTAAAAGGATTTTGAATTCTAGTGAAAACTTACTCGTCACTCCGCCCAGTGCTTCCAGGCTTGAAAGATTCCGAACAATAACGTGACGCTCGAGCATCTTTTTTGTACCAGCAGCCATGGTGACTGTCAATACGAGCAGCAGCGAAACAGGAATGGTTCCGATGGCAGTTGTTACAGCGTAGATAATGACATCCTTGCGTGAATCAAATTTGTTGGCGCCCATGACAATGATGGCACAGATGATAGCGAATGCAAAAAGCCACAGAAACAGCTGAGACAGCTTTTTCTGCAAGGGTGTGCCAATGGTCAGTCCCAAGAACTCGCCGACCCAATCGCGAGTCATCATCCACGCTGCCATGATGTATGCAAACACGGAAACTCTGCCGTCCTCGCTGCGCTTCAGGTACGACTTTGCTTTCGAGCCGCCATTCAGAGCACCAGCAATGAGACCGATCTCAGTGCACATGCCAGTTGCAAAGACGACACCGCGGCCGCGACCTTTCGTGATCACTGTTGAACTGTAGACCACATTCAGTCGGTCGCCTGGGCCGGTATCATCGTTGAAAGTCGACTTCGGGATCTTCGAGACAGGCGCGGATTCGCCGGTAAGCAAAGCTTCGTCAGCCTCGAGGTTAACAGCTTCGATGAGGCGGGTGTCTGCGGGGACGGAGTCGCCAGTGATCAGGTCGATGATGTCGCCGGGTACAACTTCGGCCGTCTGGATCTCGATAGTCTTGCCGTTGCGAAACACTTTGCAGGTTGGGAAACCGAGATTTTTGAGCGAGTTGATCGTCTTCTCGGCTTGAAGGGTCTGGGCGAAACCGATGAAAATGTTGAGAACGATGATGCCTCCTAAAATTCCACCTTCTATCCAGGCTTGGATGCCAAAACTTGCACCAAGAGCCAGAAGAAGCACCTAGTATCAAGCGTCAGTCAAACCGAAGAATTGCACAGCCCCTTGGGCAGCAGAATGCAAGCTTCTTCGAGAATACCAAGAAAACACATCTAACTTACCAAAGTCATTGCGTTGAATATTTGCTCCAGAAAGATCTTCACCGGTTGCACACCCTTGTTCTGACGAAGCTCGTTGCGGCCAAGCTCCTCAAGCCGGCGAGAGGCCTCGTCGCTGGTCAGTCCCTGACTGGCATCAACGTCAAGCTCTGTGACAACCTGGCCAACATCTAGAGCATGAGGCGGTAGTGATAGTGGTTTATTAGCTTGTCCAGAGATGTGTTCACTCTCTGAGTCATCTGGATAGTTGACCCGGAAGGAGTCGTGACCTTTCTCCTTGGTGCCAGTCATAGTGGCTGGATGTGCGAAGAGGACGGTTCGTATTGTTACAAAATTTGACGTTTCCGGTATAGTGAGTCCATGAGCGGTTATTAGAGACGTACCATAAGTCGAATAGATGCGGTTGGAAGAAGACCATTGCAAAATATTTGTACTGGTTCAGCGGCAAACCTAGAAGAAGCCCGCCTCAAACTCTACAAATGACGACTTGGCGGGCAGTTTGGATCGGACGAATCAACATGTCCAATCCAAACCGAAAAGGGCAACCAAGACTCATTCTGGTGACTCTAGGTAATCGCATTCTCGAATCTTTACCTTTCGGGGTCTGCGGGTTTGCGCATAGCGGCCGTTGGCTTGGTAAGGCGGTCATCTAGAACAGTGGTCTGGCGGAAATCGTTACGCGAAATGTACGTAACAGAATGCATGCTGTCAACAGCGAACATTGAGCTTGATTTGTTGCAATGAATGTGAATGGTCAAAGACACGCTTGAGTGGCAGGGAATAGAACTTGAGACGGTTGCGAAGACCTTGCCAGAACACACAAACCTCGATGGTCCGCGGACGCAAGAGTTTAAGGGCAGCAGCATGGACCAGGCGCTCATATGCACGACTTGCACTTGAACTTCCTAATCGGGTAATAAAATGGAATCCGGGGTCGAAGGCGGCTGACTCGAGTGGGACCCCCGCCGTTGACTTGAAGTACGTATTTCGTCGGAGCCACCCGGAGGTTATAGCTTCCCGGACTCTCGATGTTTCCGGAATTCCAGATTCCACGTGTATATTTTCAAAGACCGCAGAGTTGGAGAATCTGCAGGTAGACTAAACGACAAAGGGCAGCCAAGACTCACTTCATAGACACTGCCAGGGCGGAAGGGCGTTGATGACACTACGCAGGACTGCATTTTTCAATCCTGGCCAGGTCTCCAGCATGATGTAGTAGAAAATCGTGGGTAATGTTTATATACTTAAAACCATATCTTCGCGTCGCTCATTTGTAACACTTCGACTACGACGTCTTCATTAGGAGCCTCATAAGTGGCGTAAACTGGCCTTTATCATCCATCAATTGCGCCGCGGGGCTAACAAAATCGTCGGCACAGTGTGCCATGCACCCAAACCAGCCGTACTCATCGATCCATTCTTGCCCATCCATCCATTCGCTCAGCTTCTCTGTGAACCTCTCAACCTCTGTTCCGTCGCGGCTAATGGACGCGATCTCGGAAACATTGAGTGCGAGGCCGTACTTCTCGTGCATAGACGTGATGTACCGTTTTGCATGTTCCAAATCACCGCTGTAGTAGTGAACACCAAGAAAGTCTGGATTCCCGTTTTCTGACTTTCCCACGAGATCCATAAACGTTGCAAGCCACTTGTCTCCTGCCTCGTCACTCGCACAAGCAGGTCCGACAAGTTTCTTCCCACGTTTGTCCCGCAACTCCGGGACAACCTTCTTCAGCCACCAGTCGGCGGCGTCTTCAGGCGTGATTCCTTGCCGTTCTGGTTCGTTGAGGTAGTGCACCATCTCCGCGTCCGAGTCACGGATCCAATCCCACTCTTCCGTGTCGATCTGCGCACGTGTGCGAATCATGGGCCGGAAAGGGAGCCGACCCTTCAACTCCGGTGGGTACCATGCGTTCCAGTTATGCACCGATTTGAATGGCGACGTCTTTGCTGGAGTTTGTGCTTCGCCGGAGTCATTAAAGAGTTGGTCGATGGTTGTTGGCCGGTCGCGCGTGTTTGTCCAGTCCCATAATAAACATCGCTTTTGGACAATTGGGCTCGTGGTGTTTTGACTCATAGTTCAATCGCACTTCCTGCTTGACAGATGGCCTGAGCTGGAGATTGTATTGGCTGGATCACGATTAAAGGAAACATCGAGAGTTTGCTGGAAACGAACTCGGTGGTTGTTGTGGAAGGAATCACTGCCATGTTCCTGACGTCACCCTCCCCAAAACAAGGAACTGTTTGCCGGTGGTCGGTAGATGTGGGGCCGAACCCGGCGAGCTGCAGCTCCGGGGTGCCACTTTCAGTAAAAAAGTATTAGACAGAGCTGAGCGAGTAGGGAGACTCCTAATGATTATGGACGAAAGTCTTTGCTTGAAGCTGTCTGCGACAAAGAACATTTTTAGTGTATATTTCTTCTATCCATGGATGTTGCCTATTAATTACCACCCCAATAACGCCCGTGAATGATGCTATGTACTTCCGCCGTGTAATTTAATGGCGGTCGTTTCTATTATTCACCGAGCCAATATCTCAGTCCAAATCATCTCTCTCTTAGGCGTTGAACTTTTAGCAGTTCTAAATGTGAGTTTTCCTACCCCGTGGGATATTCCTATATTTGAGGAGGTAAGTGGGTATGCCTCAGATAATACTAGAGACGACGACGACGGCGACAACGAAGATGACTGCATACATTATTAATCACTACACCAGAGATAGGTAGAAGCAGAAGGACGAGAGAAGCGGACACTAAGGATGACAGGAAAATAAAACTACTAGAATAAATAAAGTATCAAATGTAAAATAGATGGGTCTCTGCCCGGTTATTTAAGCGCATTCGCCCAGATAGCAAAACTCGTAAATTTTCCATCCAAGGATGCTGAAGCAGGAGGTATCCTCAAGCTTCAGCCCCACTTACCGCATTATCATGACTGGACACTGGACCCGTCAGCCGTCCCAGCTGACGCGAAGTTGGCCGTGAATTGCTGCAAACGGTGCTTTTCCCAATCTTAGAAGTTTAATACTAGACGCTCAAGGTATATCATGTGAGTGCCTTAAAGCTGGCACAATGGATGTGCATGGGCAGGCCTCGCTTTTCCGGTCAGACGACGACGCCACAAGAACTCTCAAGGTGATACGTAGCATCAAAATTTCCTTCGGGACGGTACACCCAAAGACTTCATAAACAGAGGTTCCTTCCAGAGAAATAGCTTTCGTAAGTTGAATTCTCACAAAAGTACAGGCTGAATCTACAGAATCTACAGCTCTTGGACCGCGCGACTAAATCCACCACGTCCGTCAACGCCTGAACTAGGATGGCTCCCAACAGCAGTGGCAAAGCAGACATGCCCAAATCACAATCTTCAAAAGATGAGGATTCCATCAGAAATCCGAAAGGTCGCTGCCTGAGGAGCTGGGTACGAACCCACCCTACGACGGTTTCCCGAATACCCAAGCATTTTAAGTCGTTTGATGAAAGGCACGATAAGGAGGGATCTTCGACAAGTCACAAAACAATGGTGAAAAGTCTGGGAAAGTCAATCACCAAGTTACAGGACCGACTCACCCGTCGCCAAACGAGGCCGATTGAGTACCATCATTATCCTACGAGCGGCCCAGCTCGCTTTGTACGGATAACCGATGGTGCTGAGAGAGATGAAACTATACGCCATATCGAGACTAAAGCTTCATGGTCAGATGGTTATAAATGGAGGCTGGCTAGCTACCATAAGGATGGGGACAAGCCTACCGCGACTGCTTACATATATCTAAAGGACTTCCCACAACAAGTGCAGCGCGGCATTTCATGGGCGGACGGTGATCAGCGGTTATGTTACCAAAAGCTTGTACGATGGGGAACTTCATACTGGTCAGGGACAACGCACTGGCAAGATCGCGAGCCCGGCCGCACGTGGTATGCCACAGTAGCATTGCAACATCAAAATGCAGACCTCCTGCTCGCCGATTGTCGGAAGCACCTTCAGCCTGAAACTCTTCATTTGTAAGACCCCGTCTAAGTGTTCTAGAGCTCGACTGACCACTCACTGCACTACTTAAGGCTCTCTCTACACCAGCGACTCGGTCCTGATACCTACAAAGAGGTCGTGAGGTTCGATGCACTCAACGCGTACGGCAACGACCTTTTAGGTCAAAAGCTCACAGTCTGGAGTGCTGGCAAAAAGGTACCGAAAGAGCTTAAGAGATTCATTTGCTCTTTGTATCCAAGTTGAAACCCCGGGTGAGGTCGATGGCGCACTTCTATTGACCTGATGCCTAATGGAAGTAAAGACACCGAACATTAACAAGATTCCCGGGTGTTTTTGTCTGGACGCAAGCTAAGTTGGAGTTTATGTAGTCGACCATCATATCATCTCACGTAGATGGTGTCATATTCGAAGTTTGACAGCGGTCGAGGGCTGATGTGGGCATCTGCGGATATGGGGCGGAGAACCGGCGGACATGATGCGGAGGAAGGTGGGGCTCGACTACCGGTCTCGACGGCGTGTGTATCTGCGCTTCGGGCGTTCGGGGATGCAAATAATACCGACACGGTGCAGTCAATCTCAGTTGCCATGCCTAGATGCAGTTTGTCCGACTGCTTGGAAATCATGAATTACACGGTTCTGTTGAGATGTCCGGCTACCCGGTACCGCACCTCCACGGAGGCTTGCCGCGATTATAAGTGCGGAACCGTCTGCTACGCGATCTATGTTCTGGACCTTGTCAATCACAACAGTACAATAAATCTTTCCTAAAATTTAGATCACCCTTCAGATTTCATCATGCCCTCATCTGAAAACGCCATCGCCATTCAGCCTTGGTCCCTGAGCGGCAAGACGGCTTTCATCACCGGCGCCTCAAGGGGCATCGGGAAGGCTATTGCAATCTACCTAGCTCGTAAAGGGCTTGCCAATATCGCCATAACTTACGCATCAAACAAGGCCGCGGCTGAGGATACTCTTGATCAATGCCGTGCTCACGGTATCAAGAAAGCAGTTGCCCTTCAAGCTGACGCCCTTGATCCAACAGCGTGGCCGAAAGTTTTTAAAGACTCAATTGACGCCCTGGACGTCTCCGAAATCGACATCCTAGTCAACAACGCCATCTGGGGATCTTTCCAAGACTTCAAGCCGGCGGGAGAGACCACCGCAGAAGACTTCACAAAGGCGATGATCGCCAACGTGTACTCCCCGGTTTCAACCATTATTGAGTTCATGAAGCACGCGCCTAAGACAGGCGGTCGGGTCATCAACATTTCCAGCGTCGCCGCAAGGGAAGCGAATAACGATCCGATCATCACGTATGGCGCCTGTAAAGCGACTCTCGATAGCTACACGAGGTCCTTTGCGGGTAGCTTCGCCATCGACACCGGTATTACGTTCAACACAGTCGTGGTGGGACCAACCGCTACGGATGCGCTGGTTAATACGATGAGCGCACTCCCTGCTGAGTTTGAGGAAAAGCTTAAGGCTAGCGCTTCGGCGGCGTACCGCATGGGAGTTCCAGACGATGTTGCACACATCGTCGGTTTTCTTGCTAGCGACGAGAGCAAGTGGGTTAATGGAGCGGCGGTCAGTGCCAATGGTGGCTACAGGTCGCTTCTTGCGGCTCTTGGCTAGGTCACTATGGGTCAAATAACTGCGGGAGTGGATCATTTGATAGTTCACCAGAGATTCGCGTTGTGTTAGTAAGGTGAATTGGTTGCAGATGTTCGTTGAATACAGTAAACCAAACTCTTAAACCGATCGTACTATTCTTATCATTCTTTCTTTATTAACGCTATTGTTTAGGAGTTCTGCTATCCAAGCGCATAACTCTCTTTATTAGATAGGTCTAGGAGTTTATTTCATCATAATTATTTTACCATTATTGTCGCTATTTCTGTCCCTCTCTCTATCCCTATCATTATCGTCGTCGTCGTCGTTATCATCGATCAACCCCATCGGTGTACATTCACTACCCGCCCGGCTACAGAGGCCGGCCAGAACTATTGTTCAGTTAGTTTCTTGGTCTTCATCGCTTTGCTGTATCTTGTTTTCTCCCCTTCTCCGTTACCAGTCTTCCTGTCGCTTCTCAACCTCTTGCAACGAAGCTTTCTAGATGCTACAGAATGTGTGAAATTTGCGGGCGTCTGTCTCCATTGGAGATTGAATGTAGTTCGAGCAATATGAAAAATGGGGTCCAGGCGAATTTCCAGCTAGCAAGCGATTGCAAAGGTCGTAGAATGGCTCCACGATCCACCCAGCTGCAAGATAGAAGCCGCAAAACATGATCGTTGTATGCTCATCAGGGTTGAATCATCAGGCATTGGCACATTTGTACTGATGTAAAAATGTACAGGTGTCATATTGAGGTTGTCCATATACACCTTGAGAGTCCGGCATCAATATGTATCGGAGATTAGTTACTAGTAGCTGAGAAGAATTCAATAAAACCATCGAAGATCTATCCTCACCCCCGCTAACTGACGAGCCTCATCCTCATTCTCATTCATTTCTTCACGAATCCTCTGTCTGTCCAATTTCAACGCTCTTCTTCGTTGACCATTAGACACGATGTTGAAACTCGGGGCTCAAATCAAGTCGTTCGTCAAAGCTGCACTCGATATGGGTAGGCGACCTGACGCATCCAAATTTCCCCTCCTCCAACTTCCTCCTGAACTGATATACGACATCGCCGACTACCTAGAACTGTACGAAGTATATTTTCTCAGTCAAACCTGCGGAGCCCTCCGGCGGCTGACCCATGGGCGAGTGGAGAAAGAACTCCGCGCGCTTGGAATTTTCCCCGAGGCCGCGCCGTCTTCGGGTTGTGCAGATTGCACCAAATCGAAGACCTGTCCCTCGTGCATCAAAGCACTAGAGGTGAGAAAAAGAAAGGCTGCTACTCACTCCACCGCTAGGTTCAATTTCTGGGCTGGGATCTCAAACTTCATCCCTGACAGATGGGTATGCCCGTATTGCCAAACCCTCCACCCAATCAACCTGGAAGACCCAGAAGCTTTCCGACTCGCGCCCCATTTTTCATGTTCTCTTCAAAGCGACCTCAGGCCACATACACTAGCACGCTTCTATGCCGTTCGCGAGGCGGAAATACAGCTCGCCCTCAAGCGCACGCGTTTCAGTGATTTCTACCAAAAGCACCTGCAGAGCTTATTGGCGCCGTCCTCGCAGGCATTCGGCGGTTACCCGCACCAACGGCAGGATGAATTCTGTGCATGGGTATATGAAGCTACGCCCAAGTTGGTCAACGGACGATCCATGCTGCAAGAGAAGTGGTCAATCGGAATGCTTCAAGGGATGCGCATGACGCCACATTCGCTCTGGTTTCTTGAGCTGTGCCCTCACATGGCCGCCGTAGACGGGGGGATATTGTCGGGGATCTCCCCAAGACAACATGGCCTCACGGCCTTTCGAGAACATGCCCAGTACGCATACAGAAAGAGTGACAATTCGCCGTATTATGACAGCTTCGGACACTGCTCGCTTTGTCTGACGGATTTCAGTGTCTCATTTGATGGGCACGAGGCGCATATTGCTGCCTGGTACGACTTCGGCTCCTATAACTCTCCAACAGACGATGCTTGGATGGCTCACTCCAGGTTTCAAGATACACAGGAGAGGCCTTGTCGAGAATTTTCGCATGATAATGGAGACGTTCGACGGATGTTTCTCACAGGAAAACCATACAATTACGAACGACACTGATTTCTTACTGTTTGTAATAAGACTAAGGGAAAAAAGAAGAAGAATGGAAAAAGACATAGACAGCTAGCTGAAAGCGTGTTTGTATCAATCAAATCTGACGTCGATGAGGTGTAGATCTATTTCTCATTTTTGGTCACATTTGTGCTATTAAAACCGAATTGTCGGGGGTTTTTTTTTTTAACCTCCAGCAGCCATCAATCACGACTCAAAGCAAGACTGGGAGGATGCAAGAGAAGACGACACACAGACAACAACTGCACAATAGAGTTTGCAGAAATCAACTGCTACAGTCCAGTGAAGAATGAGAGTCCCGACTGAGCCTACGCGTAGTTTGTGTGAAAAGTTAGTTGCTAATCTCTTTCCTAACATCGTCGTCGCTTCTATCTTCATCATCACTATTATCGTTATTATTATTAACGTCGTCGTTATTGTCGTTGTCGTTGTCGTTGTTATCGCTACTATAGTAGTGATAAAGTACGCAGGAGATATAGCCGCGCACATAGAGGCAATCTAGGCGGCCTCTTTAATTAAGGGTTCATCTACGCCTGACCGGCATCGTCGAATGATGGGAGCAATGTTGGAGTCCCTCCCGCCCGAATAAGTGGGGCCGAAACCGAAGGTCGCCGTCCTCAAACAGCGACAGCCGTACAGTGCCCATTATCTACCCACACATCCCAATCTGTCACCCACGCAACGCCAGTTCTTCACAGTGCGTCAATCACCTCATACATGGCGCTTGTGACCAAATCCAGCACCATCATTTCCCTCCCAAAATCCTTCTCACTTGAACTTTCGACGGGCTTCATTCTTCCAAGCCTTGCATCACCGCGACATCAGATACTCATTCCCTTATTCCGTGAAAGATGGCTTCGACGCAAATAGACGACGAAGACCTCACCTTCACTTGCTGCGCGCCCCTCCGGCCCTCGAGCCTCCTGCGGCCGGTCGAGGTCGGCGAGATCGGGTACGTCCAAGTCCACTCCAGCCCGCGTTCATCCCATGACACCCCGACGTCATCTCATGAAGTCACAAAACGAAGAAAACCACACAGACATGAACCCCCCGCTCCGAACACCAGGCTAACCAAGACCTCCCATCAACAGCGGCTACGGCCACGCAGGCACCTCGACATTCCTCGCCTGGCCCATCCTCGGCCCGCTGCTCTTCCAGAATGAGTCCAGCGACGCGCGGGACCACTGCGCGAATGAGAGAAGTAAAGCGCCGCCACGACCCCTTCTTTCCCTCTCTTCATGCTTCCCCATCCCCTCAAGTCCGTAACTCTTTGGTGACCCAACTGACATAAGAACCGTGCCCCTCACAGCATTCCTCTCATACCTACGCCTCTCGGTTTACATGTCCATCGTCTCCGTCGCAATCGTCCTCTCCTTCCACCTAAAATCCGAACCCAGCGAGCTCGAGCTGCGCATGGCGAAGCCGCTCGGCGTCATCTTCTGGTGCCTCGCCGTCTCGTGTCTGTGTCTCGGCATAGGGAACTACATTAGTGAGTTTCTTTCCTCTTTCTCTCTCCCCATCTCAGACACACACCCGCTTTCTCTCTGTCGCTTCCTCTTCGTTTTCTTCCCAACAACCGTCTCTCGACCCAAATGAGGTGACCAAACTGACCAAAATAACAGAAACGGTAAACAAATACAGCCGCAAAGCAGCCATCGTGCAGACCGGCTGGAGGACGCAGCTCGTCCTCTCCTTCGTGGCCCTCAGCATCGTGGGCACGTGCATAGTCCTCCTGGTCATCACCAAGCTCGCCAGCACCGACAACGACACCTCAGACAACACGCTCAAGACAGACTTCACTGCATCGCATATTTTGTGAAAATAAAGAAACAGTTAATTCAGAAAGTTCTTTTTTCCTAAGCGCCTATTATGCTTCCCAATGCCAACCCCAGTCTTTCGCTCGCGCCGTGCATCAGTCCTTGCTGATGTGTTTTATCCATCCCCCGTGGGTATATATCGAAATGCAGTCTATATATGTGAAAAATACACGGCCTGCGTCTTGCGCACTCTTGTTTCTTTCTTAACCCTTGAGCTTGCCGTCAGGCGTGCAAAACAGGTCCCTCGCGGAACCGTCAATGTGATCGCTTTGCTTCGCTTCCGCGTTGCACCCGCCGACGACCTCGCGCCATGCAAACATGTACTCCACCGCCCGCTGATATACGTCCCGCAGCCCCATGCTATCGCCCTCCCAGCCAAGCATCGGCAGATCCTTACAGGGGGTGAGGGTGCCGTTGTTCGGGAGGGTGTCCAGCGTGCGGACGAGCGACTCGGAGGGATGTATTGACTCTGCCAGATTCGCCCTGAGCTTCTTCCGTTCGTCGGCCTCCATTTCGTATTCTTCAGGGCCCCGGTACAGCTCGTGGTGTACTTTGGCTACTGTGGCGCCCGTCTCGGCGCTGGGATAGACCGTGAAGTAACCTCGCAATCGAGATAGCCGCAGAACGTGTTCCAGCCAAGAGGGGAACATCTTGCTGACCTCCTTGGTGGTCACCATCTCTGGAATCTTCTCAGGAGCGCGCGAGCTCTTCAACGCGTCCACCTGAGATACCAGACCGTGGAGCTCGACCCACTTCTCGCCGAATATTAGCATGGCGTTGCTGCTGGGCGCCTGCCACATGTAGGAGGTGCCCATCTCGTCCGGGCCATCAGAAATTGGCTCCACAAACGCCTTCTTGCCATTCAAGTAGACTGACGGGGCGGTCAGACTGATGCCAAGTAGACGCTGGTCCCATTTCTGGACTACCGAGTACCCGGAGTAGCGGTACTCCAACAGAGAGTATTTCAGATCTAGGGCCAGTCAGTTAGGTAACCCAAACGCAAGCGCAAGTAACTCACAATGAAAGAAACCCGGTGCCAACTCCGCCTGCGGTGAGAGAACAAGAATATGAGAAAACCTGGGCGTCGTTGGCCAGAACGACTCTAGAAACCGGATGGAGCTCTCCTCTTCCGTCATCCGCTGCCGCGGTATTCTATGTCTCAGTGATAACATCTGCGTCCTGCCCGGGTTTGCCACGTGTGAGGGTGGCCAGTGGAAGTCCTCGAGAAACTTGGCCGTCGCGGGCTCAATGTCTTGCGGCAGCTCGATGGTAAGGTGGGGGATCGTGAAAGCGGTAAAGTCGACCTCGTTCAGTGACCTCAGCAGTCGCAGCAGGCTGCCGGAGCCGCTGGCCGGGGCTTGGATGAGAATATCGACGCTGACCTTATTCCAAGCTGCGAGCGACGGACTGTCGAGCTTCGACAACCACCAGAGCTGCTTCGATGCCTCCTTGGGAAGCTCGATTAGCGGGATCTTCAGCGCGCCCGCCTCTTGTCGCATGCCCTTCAGGAACGGGAAGAGCTCGTCGTCGGTGCCATCCACCATGATCGCCTGCGGGTGCATAAAGGTGTTGATGTTTCGAAGTCCGCGGACGACGGACAGCTCCAGGCGGGCGTCGGTCGAAAGGGAGGAGAAGTCGGCGCGAGCATCGTGCCAGATGATGTAGCAGCTGTCGTCTATTCCGTTGATCTTCTTGATCTCGTCGAGCTCGAGCTCACTCCGGCCCATAACCGCAAAGTGCACGTAGTTCCTCAGCTCCATGCCCATCTTGCAGGCGAATGGCAGCAATGTCGACGCGCTGTGGAGACTCGATGCCGCAAAAAGCACATTCTGGTTGATCGTCTGTCCGCCCTTGGTCGCAGCGATTGCGTGCAGCGAAGACGCCAGACGGTGGAACTTGACCGGGCCGTTGTAGTCGTGTTCGGCGATCGGGGGCATGGGCGTTCCAGGCTTGGCCTTGCGACCGCCGCCACTCCTCCGGGGAGGACCATCGCGGATCGGGGAGGGGATGTAGTCTCGGGGGCCGTCGGTGTACGGGTAGATGTAGTTGGGGCGTCGTTCGGCGAAGGAGAGGTCACCCAGGAAGTACCAGATACCAGCAGCGATTAGGAAGAGGTAGGCGAGGCGTCGGAAGAGACGGCGGGATGGCATCTTGGCGGCCGGCTGCCATTGGGGGTTTCTGTTTCGTAGCAGCATGGGGTTCATGTTGCTGCCGCCGCCGCGGTAGTGGTCGTCGTCCTTCTTGCCCATCTCTTCATCGCTGAGGAAAACGAGGGAGCGTAGTTGTCGCCATGGGTCCGGCATGCTTCTCTATCTTGGGAGACGGAACTGCAGCACAGCAGGGAGGGGAGAAGAAGGGAAGAAAGGAAGAGGGCAGAAGAGAAGTGAAAGCAAAGCGTCGATGACAGGGCGACTGTAATGACTGGGAATGCAGCTGCAAGGGAGGGGACGAGGTGATCCGAGGGTTGGTTGGGCGTCTCACATCTTCCCGTCAACGGATTCGTAGATGCAGCTAGCTGGATGTCGAGCTCCAAGCAAGAGGACAGGTTAGGACGGGACGTCGACTTGACTTGACGTGGACTTGGACTTGGCCAGGTAAAGGTGTGTGGAACGAAACAACAAGTGGTCCCTTCGCCCTTCCTCTCTGCTCCGACGTGGACTGGACCTGCCCGACCTGTGACTGTGACGGGCGGTTCCCTGGTGCCGGCAATTGCGCACCTTATTGCGCAGTAGCGTGTCCCTGACCTGAAAGTGCGTCTCGTCTGGCCAGGGTTGCTTTTCCCTTGCTCCTTGCGCCGGCGTCCCTGCTGCTGGGCTGTGCAAGCGGGTGTCGTGCTGCAGCTTTGTGGGTTCAAGTGTCGGACGGTGGATCTGTGGAGCTTGGCCGGACCGCGACGGGGAGACGGGACCTCGGGAAGGGGGAGCTTCGATTGCGATGAGAGCTCCAGAGGCGGCGATCAGCGACGTGGTTCATGCGCGAGGAAACACACGGCTTGCTGAGGAGAAGCTGGTCCCGTCGTGCAAAGTTGGAGAAAGGTGGCGTTTCCAAGGACCCTGGGCTGCTGTTCTGCAAAGGATCCGGGGTACGGACGCGCGGGACCTGGGTGCCGTTGGAGGATCGAGGGGAGGTGTCCGTCCGGCTTGGAGAATGGCCGGTCAGATCATCCAAAAATGGCAACGGAGAGCAGTGACCTCGCAGCGGTGTTGCTTGTTGGCGAAGAAAGCCGTGCAGTTTGTCGCAGTAAGTTGTGTCACTCGAATCATGAATTGAAGAGACGGACTGCGAAGAGCTGGCGGGGGACTTGACTTGGGCCAAAGTACCGTTCCTGAATTTAGCGTGGTACAGCTTAATGACGAGTGGGGAAAGGTACTTCTCAGTCCGGCCCGACAGCTGTGCGCCCACGTTTCCTTCAGTGAGGCGTTGCAATGTCATCGCTGTGGTGGTGCACCACGATGCGGGGCGCCACACGAGCCACAATGTGGCTGCCCGAGCAACCGTTTTCTAATTTTTTTTTCTTCTGAAGCGCAATCGCGGGGCGACTTTTAGAGGTCGGTCACGAAGAAATTCCAACACAAATAACCCCCCTCACTTTCAGCTAGAGTCTCATATTCTTCACCTCATAGGCCATTCATTTCTCGTATCCCCTGTCTCAAGCTACTCATTCACCCATAAACCCCGCCACAATGGGAAAGTCCAGACGAAACAGAGGCGCCCAGAGCCATCGCAAGGACCCCATCGCCAAAACCGTTAAGCCGCCCTCTGACCCTGAGCTGGCCGCCCTCAGGGAAAAGTCCATTCTGCCCGTCATCAAGGACCTCAAGAGCTCCGACCCGAAGTCCCGCACGGCCGCCGCCGCCGCCGTCTCCAACATCGTCACCGACGAAAAGTGCCGGAAGCTGCTGCTGCGCGAGCAGATCGTCCACATCGTCCTCAATGAGACGTTGACCGACGCAAACCTCGACAGCCGCGCCGCTGGCTGGGACATTCTGAGGGTCATTGCCGAGGAGGAAGAGGCCGACTTTTGTATTCACCTGTATCGCCTGGATATTCTCAGTGCCATCGGCTTTGCTTCTCAGGCTGTAAGTGCCCATTCATATAATATCTCAAGTGAGTTCGTTGGTTAACTTTTCATTAGATTCTTGAGAACCTGGCCAAGGGCTCCGCAGTGAGCAAGGGCGAGGCCAAGGTCACATGGGCCATTGCCGAGTCCGTCGTCGCACTCCTGTCTGCACTCGCCGAGGCTCAGGATGAGATCCTTGAGGCCATCGTTGGAATCGAGGGCATCAAGAACCTCCTTTTCACTCTTGTAGCTCACGCCGACTCACCGTCAAGCATCTGCCTCGAGGCGCTATCTGCTCTCCTTACCTTATCTGAGGACAACCGTCGTCTGGCAGAGGATGTCGTGGCCGACGAGAACCCCAAGCCCCTCACAACCCTAACGAAGCTGCAAGCCACTGCCGATGCCAAGGGTGTCCTGGCTTGTGGTGTTCTGCACAACATCTTCACAACTTTGGAGTGGTTCGACAGCACACCGGGTCAGAAGAACCTCTCCGACGCCGCACTCATCCCGACACTGTCATCAGCACTCCAGGGCTCTGAGCCGGCAGCTGACTTGCCACCCAAGAGCCAATGGTCCAACCCGACCGAGGTCCTCCAGCTCGCACTGGAGATCCTGGCCGACATTGGCACCACCCTCCAAGTATCCATGCAAGGCGGCAACAAGAAGGCAGGCGAGGAGTGGAACGGAATTGAAGACGATACCGCCATGGACGAGGACATCGACGACAAAGCTTCAGGGGAGGAAGACAACGTCGGCGGCGATGACGACGACTCCTCCATGGACGAGGACGACATGGCCGACATGGAGATGGTGACCGGCGCCGACGACGAGGTCGAGGGCGAGGCGAACATGGACGACGTCCCCACGCTCCGCGAACTCATCCAACAAGCCATCCCAAGACTCATCGAGCTCGCGACCACCGCCGCACAGTCCGACGACGCCCTCCGGATCCAGGGCCACGCGCTGTCCGCCCTCAACAACATCGCCTGGTCCATCTCCGTCTTCGACTTCGCCGACGACCACAACGCCGGCATCCTCAAAGCCTGGACGCCCTCCGGCAAGGCCGTCTGGGGCAAGGTCATCGTCCCCATCCTTGCCGCCAACACCGCCGACGTCGACCTCGCCACCCAGGTCACCAGCCTCGCCTGGGCCGTCTCCCGCAGCCTGCCCGGCCGCGCGCCCCTCACTGGCGACGAGCACAAGAAGTTCATGGCGCTCTACCACGCCACCAAGAGCCTGCCCAAGAAGGAAGCGAACGGAGCAACAAACGGCGAGAAGGCCAAGGACGAGGAGCCGGAAGACCCCTTCCAGGGTCTGGGAGTCAAATGCATCGGCGTGCTGGGCCAGCTCGCGCGGGACCCCGCCGCGGTGGAGCTCAACCGCGAGATCGGCGTCTTCCTCATCACCGTCATCACGGCTCTGCCAGAGACCCCGGCCGCGGACGCGGTGGAGGCGCTCAACCAGCTTTTCGACATCTACGGCGACGAGGACTTTGCATGCGACAAGGAGGTCTTCTGGAAGGACGGCTTCCTGCAGCACCTTGAGGCGGCCCAGCCCAAGGTCAAGGCCCTGGTCAAGACAATCGACAAGAGGACGCTTCCCGAGCTCCGCTCGCGCGCGGACGAGGTTGTTCTCAACCTCGCGCGTTTCCTCTCTTACAAGAAGAAGCACCAGCCTTGAATTGGACCTACCGGTGATGGTACAGATATGGCATAGAGGCGAAGTGGATCAAAAGTTCATGTTTTTATTAGGATCATAATGCGAGCATACCACGACGTGACGAGGAAGAAAAAGGATGTGTGCTTACCTGGCTAGATGCGCCTCGCAAACAGCGAATGAAAAGTTTTTGGGGGACATGGGCATTGCACTTCTGACATAGTTAGGGACATAACCGCGATGGTCAATCATAAACTCACTGGCTCTCTTGATGTAATCCGTGCCATGCTTGTGTGTGATCGTGTATCCGTAAGCCGAGACCTGTGTAGTTATAATGTAATTATCCCTCCAAACCCCCATAAACACCTCCCAGCAGCCTGCCCGTTTTAGGCGGCGGAGAAAAACAGAACCGAAATGCCCAACCAGACTTCCACAATCAACCAATAGGCTTCATCTTCTTCTTCTTCTTCCCGTCCCCGGACTTGCCCTTCTGAAAGCTCCGCCAGCTGTCGATGCGCTGGTCCCGCGTGGCCTCCCAGTCCTGCTCGTGCTGCCTCTTGCGCTTGCGCTGCTCGGTCTCCTCGTCCTGCTTCTTCTGCTCGCGGCCCTCCTCCTGCATCTGCGCCTTCACCTGCCTGCGCCGGCGGTGCTCGTTGTCTATCAGCACCTCGCGCGTCTTGTCGCGCCACTTCTTGGCGAACTCGTCCGTCTTGAGCTCAGGGCTGTCGACGGTCCACTTGTTCTCGCGGATGAGGAGCATGCGCGCGTCCGCAATGGCCTCGTCGAGGCGCTCGCGGTGCTTCTCGTCCATCAGCTCCGTCTGCGCCTTCTTCAGCCGGTCGAAGGCGTCGGGCGCCAGCGGGTTCTTGGTCTTGTCCGGATGGATGAGGAGCGACTTTTTGCGGTAGCAGATCTTGATGTCGGACTCGGGCACGCCGGGCTGCAGGTCGAGGACGGCGTAGGCGTCTAACCTGAAGGCCTTGAGGATTCTGTCGATTTCGGCATCCTGAGAGAGTGGTCAGTTAGCTATGCGCCGAGGTATCAAGGGTGATGGGTTCCGTTTGCGGGTTGACATACCTTGTCGAACTCCTTCGCCTCTAACTCGAGCGCGTCGAGGGCATCCTTCTCCTCTTTGACGTCTTCGCTGGCCATGTTGTAGATACGCAGAGCTCGCGATCAAAACTTTCAATACGGAAAAGTCTTGCGATGAACTTGGGAAGCTGCTGCGGTTCGTGTAGGTGTGAGACCAGCAGAGGATGAGGGAGGTTCGAAGGGCACGAGGCTGCCCGCGTGCACAGCAGCCACACACGCCCGGGCCCACTACGCATCCCTGTGGATTCGGCGCCCCACGAACGCTAAGATAAGACACTGGACGGCGGCGATAAGAAATTTTTCGATGGGTCTCGCCCGCCAGCTCTTGGGACTTTTTTGGAGGCGCCTCCAAACCGGCGTTTCTTCAACACGACAGGACAAGGGCCCAGTTGTCGACGAGACTCTTTCAACGAAAACCAGCTCGTCGCATACCGGTCAAAATGCCCCGTCGCGCAGTATCACCGACGCCGTCTGACGGCGAAGTCGACATTGCGG